AGAGAGAGAGAGAGAGAGAGAGAGAGAGAGAGAGAGAGAGAGAGAGAGAGAGAGGATTGGTAAGCCCAAGAGGGTCGAAAGTTGGAGTACTGATTGTCAAATAATTCGATTATTGAAATGTATGTTTGTTTTCTACTTTCAGCCATCTGTTTTCTTTTGCTTGGGTTTCAGTTTCGCTGGACCTTCTGCGTCTTTGGATGGATGTCAGACTCACTCACCTGCTTATCTGGATCCTCAACATGCTGCTTCGCTGCATTGCACATGTTACATAAAGCAGAAAGGATTCAAAGGAACACAGAAAGAGAAATTTAGCATCCACAAGAAAAAGCAGGAAAAAACAAGCATGAAGGGCTCGACAGGAGGAGATAGGTTGAGGCGGGTGGAGGTGTGTGCAGGTGGGTGGCAGTTGGAGACAGGTGGAGATAGGTGGAGGTGGGTAGAGGTAGGTGGAGGTGGGGAAAGGTGGGTGGTAGTGGGTGGTTACCTTCAAAAAAAAAAAAAAGGAAACACAATCAAAGATGCGCTTTGCTGCGACCCTCAAAGGCATGCCAATCGTGAAAGTGAACGACTTAAAAGTTTGAACCACCGTGCGGAGGGGAAGGAAGAGGAGGATGTTGAATGCAGTATTCTAGAAAAAAATGATGGAAAAGGACCGTACGGTGGAGGTCAATAAGGCCAGATACATTCAGCAGCTGAGGTGGCTAAGCTTGCACCACAATTTCAGAAGCCGCTAAGATTGAAAATTGTCCTTTGTGGCTTTTTTCCAGGTTTCCCCTGCAATTTTACCGAGTTTTCCTCGGTAAAATACCTTGTACGCTGAAAAATGATTTGCGGAAGAAGAATTGTAAACAGCCCTGATATGTAGGCAGCTAGTGTGAGGTGGAAAAAATGTTGAGAGAAGAAAATACTAAAATACTAAAAATAGCATATTAGCGTAGTGAATACACCTGTCCCCCTTTTATGAGGACAAGACAGCTTTAAAAAAAAAAAAAACAAGAAGCAGAGAGAGGTCCAGTCTAGAAAAAATCTCATCCAAAAAAATAAATAAAAAAATCAGTTGAAAATTGAAATTACACACAAAGGCGCGCTAATGATGACAGCCATGGACCACCCTTTTGATGAAAGCCAGGCAAGACAGCGCACCACTCAAGAGATCCTGAAGTATGTTACCGACTTCTACCGTGAGCTGCTTAACCGAAGAGGAAGAATGGACGGCCGCGGATATGGCAACGGTGCCAGAACAGGAAATGTGGAAGCATATCCGTAAACGTTTGGATTTGGATCGGTCCTGTAGGCTGGAGGCGAACATCGAGACAGTAGAAGTGGAGGAGGCAATAGCCGAAATGTACAAAGATTTCCGGAACTTCTTCATGATCTTCCTGACGGCAGCATATAACGAAGCTCTCAAGGATGGCTCATCCCCGCAGAGCTTCGCGGATGCCTACGCGGTGCTACTGTACAAGGAGGGGGCGAAGGAGGATGATCGGAATTGGCGCCCCAAATCTGTCCTCAATGTGCCATATAAGATCTTGGCCAAGGTGATGGCAACCCGCCTGAAGGAAGTGCTGCCACGGATTATAGACTGCACTAAGACGGGTTTTGTACCGGGATGGCAATCCTGTCGAATGTCATCTTGGCGCAGCAAAAACTGGAGGAGGACCGATGCACAGGATACGCCAAGGCGTTCATCTCCATCGACCTGGAAAAGGCATACGATCGGGTCAGACTGGAGTGCCTCCTGCAGGAGACTGGGTAAGAAGTCTGTTGAAGGGTGCAAGTGAACGGGGTCAGGTCGGACAAGCTGAAGGTGACCAGATCTGTGCAGCAAGAATGCCCGCTGCCCCCGGCCCTACGCATCATCTACATAGACGCCATGCACAATATCTTGAGAGCGGACAAACGGCTGCTCGCTATGAAGGCCGGCCCAACTGAAGAACTGCAGACTACAGCTTTTACAGACGACTCTGGAGCAGTGATCGCCCCGACAGCTCATCAACTGGGGATCCTCAAGGAGGACCTCGATATTTTCTGCAAGTACTCGGGAGCACGGGTCAACTGGAGGAAGTCAAAGGCAGTCCTCCCCCCGGAGGTTGATTTACTGGATGGATGGGACATCCCTACAGTGGATGAAGGAGAGAGGATGTCCTTGCTGGGGGCCAACTTGGGTCCAAGCTTCGGGGGAATAGAACAGATGGCGATTAGAGCCACGGTGGCGGTAGCCAGACTCGAGGCGTGGAGCGTGAGGGGCAGTATGAGGGTATTTGGGAAGGCCCTCATTATCAAGAATTCTGTCCTCGCGACCCTGTGGTACGTGGGCACAGTGCACATGGCTGGTAAATGCACTTTCAGATATATAAAGAGGGCAATACATGCACACCTATGGTCGAACAACGCGGAAGCACAGGACTCCATTTGTAGAGTCGCTTGGACCAAGCTCGTCCAGCCAAAAAGGTTTGGTGGACTGGGCTTACTGGACCAAAGGCAGCAGATTATTGCCCTGCAGTTACACCAGTTGCTTTGGTATTTGCTGGGCAGGGTAGGGGGCTTCTGGAGGAAGTTGCCCGGACCCACTTGGCTTATGCCCAAGAGAGACAGTCGACCTCTGCTTGGTCAGCAATACAGCAATAGGCCACATTCGCAGAGACACGGTGTGGGCAACAAAATTGGCACTGTGGAAGAAGATAAGATTAAGATGACGCCTATCAGCAACCGCCGATGCTGTCTACAATCAGCTGCTGTTTGAGAACAGATTCATCTGCGACGAGGCCGGTGATCCATACCCCTGGCTGGGCCCGCGAGGGGCATTCGGATGGAAGTGGGCTGAGCAGGGAGTCTATAAGGTGGGTCATCTATGGGACGAACGGCGAAAGGACTGGCGCTCTGACAACGACATAGTGGAAGCTCTGCAGGGGAAGATGAGACGAAGGCAAACACTGCAAGATCTGAGAGAAGCCATCCCTCCAAAGTGTGTAGAGCTTCTCAGGAAGGATGAAGTAACAATGGGAGAGTGGTTGAAAGTGAGGGGACTGCGGAGACCAGAGATGGTATACAGGATAGAACAGGTGGTGGCCGATGGGAGACTGGAAGTCACCGGCTGGGTGGCCAACTCGGGTTATCAAGGACTGGGGGCTCCGCTGCAGGAAGTTGGTAGGCAGGAAGGGGGGTCCCCCAAGGTGGTGGACAGGAATCTGTTTGAAACCGTGGCGGTGTGCGAAGGATCAAGGGAAGGGAAGGATGCTACCTGCAATACCGGCTGGCAACAAGGAGACGGGATCTCGCGTGGGATCCAAGGGAGAGGGACTGGGAGTGGCCGTCCCAAAGGATGCAGACGAGGGCAGTCCCGCTCCAGGATCTGACCACAAAGAATATCTACAACTCCCTGTTGGAGCAGGTGGACATTAGCGGAGAACTCAGGGACCGCTGGGCCAAGAGGAGCTGGCTTCCAGACGTATACCTCAACAGGCGGACGAAGAAGAGGTGGAACGAGCAATGTGCCATCTTGGCTGCCCTGCCAGATCAGAAACAGGCTGGGCTGCTATGGCAAATTTATCACCTGGCGATCCCAACAGCACAATGGCTGGCACTTAGGAGCCAACACAAGGACCAGGAATGTGCTGAGGGGTGCGGACAAGTAGAGTCTATCCTCCATCTGTCTGTGCGGTGCCCGATAGTCAGGGCATTCTGGGCATGGTGGACACACGACGTGGCAGAAGGATCACTGCTGGAGGTCACAGAGATGGACGACGCTGCCATCCTCTTGGGGGCCCCGATGATGGTGGATAGGTCCAGAAAGCAACATATGCTGGCTGCAGAAACAATACGAGCAGCGGCACTATGGGCCCTGTGGTCCTTGCGAAATGAACAATGCAAGGAGGGAACAGGCCCACCACTCCAAGTGTATCAAGAGAGGGCGCTGGAAAATATCAGGACTGTCCTTATGGCCGACATCCGGAGGAGCAGCCACACGGAGGTGCTAGGGAACCAAGCGTTCTGGGAAAGATGGAGCTAGTACCCGCAACTGCTCAATCGCGACCCTCCGACAGGCCGGATGCGGTTTGGCCCCATCTTAATGCGCCATGTACCTAGTCCCCAAGATGACAAGGACTGACCTCAACCGATGTGTACCATAGTTAGGAGGGATGGGCGGGGTTGTATGGGGGCTCCCAATAATGGGAGGGAAATAGTTTTATTATAGTACGGGGCAAGAGGGAGAGTGTTCACCTATACACAGGGGTAAGAGGGTAAAAGGGGTCAAGAACGTGCTGGGGCTAGAACATAGCAATTGCGCGGACGTCTATAGTGCAGGACCCAAGGTAGTGTGGACTTTTTCGGTCTTCTTCAGCCACTTTCGGTGCTAATACCACAAAGGATCAAGCATAGGTAGATAGTAATAAGGCTTAGGGATAGGTAAGGCAGGTTTAAAGCCAAGAAAAACCTGATAGTAGGAGAGGTAGGATACCAAGGACAGAAGTGTTCAGGGATACAGATGACATGGTGATAGGAGGCAGAGGAAATGTTGGGCTTTGGTAAACATCGTGGGAAGGTGTGAGTAAGTAACAGGCGGCAGGAGGGGCTGCTAGGACCCCAACCCCCCCCCCCTTGTGCCTTGATCCCTTAGGGATTGTCCTGCAGTGTGCTTGGGTGCTGCTAGTAAGCTTCCCAAAGGACAGGCTAAAGGGTGGAAGCGGGTGGTCCTGGAGCAACCCCCCCTTAGATAGGCGGCTCGAGGCACAAGGGTAGGCTGACTATCTTTTCTGTCTAATCCCCCCCGCTGCTTGTTTCAAAAAACTTTGCTTGCTGGTGAGAAGCAACCGGACTAATGCCCCCAGAATGGAAGGGGCTGGGAGGTTAAAAAAACAAAAAAAAACATGGACTGATTTGCAAATCACTCCAGCCTTGTGACTGAATGCCACACACATGTAGAAAGGTCGCGAGTTCAAACTTTTCAAATCCTGATGGACAACACAGTTCGGGGAAAAGACTAACAAATTTTCCGATCCTCACATCATCCACAGATCTGTCCAAGCTACAGGCACATGTACACAGATGATACGATTATTTTCGCCTAAGTTGTTGAAAATCAGATGGCACTCCGAGAGCTCTTTGGTACCATCGGCTACCGGGACATCTTTGGTACGATCAGAACCGGGACATCTTTGGTACCATCAGATACGATAATTTTCACCTGTTGTTGTTGAAAATCAGACGGTACTTTTTCTTTTCTTTTTTAATCAGATGGTACTATGTCTTACAACTTTGTCTGTGTGTGACTCGTGCACTTCATTCTGCTGTACCATATTTTGTCATCACATCACATATTCGATTAGCAAACGCCGCAGCTAAGAGGGAGAAAAAGAAAGAAAAAAAATAGAAGAAAAAGCATCACATCCCTACCCAAGTTCCTAAGTCATTATCCAAAAAAATAGAAGAAAAAGCATCACATCCCTACCCAAGTTCCTAAGTAATTATCCATTACTGTGACTATGCCTTAAAACTTTGTCTGTGTGTGACTCGTGTACTTCATTCTGTTTTATAAGAGTCACCAGCAGGGTGACTCTGATACATCGCATCTGCATCACAGCCTACCCAAGTTGCTAAGTAATTATCCATTATTGTCAAGAATAAGCAAATGGAATTTATAAATGATTTAATGAAGTACATATTGTCATATTCTTGAGTCTGGCATAAGAGAACCCTATACAAGACAGCGGAGCTTCACCAGCAGTACCCACTAGCAGCTGACCGCAAAGTTCATTGTCCATGTTCATTTTATTTTATTTTATTTTGAATAGTTCATTCCAGTTCATTGTACTTTCTGTCTTGTGACACAGGTTAAAACTCAAGACTTAAAATTGGAAAGATAGTCCTTCGGGACATCCAAAGCGCACAGAAAAGATTAGTATTAAAAACAAAAAAAAAGGCAGGATCCGGACGTCCGGAATTCCAGACATTTCTGGACCTCCGGACATGGGGGGATCCGGACGGTCCGGATGTCTGGACAGGTCCGGAAATATCCGGACCATTAAGAAAAAAAAAAAAAAATCTGAAAAAAAAGTATGTTATGCAGAAAAACAATGCAAACCACTTTTGCCTCAGAGTCATGTCAGAATTCCTAACCAAACTTGAGTTAAAAGTCAAAAACTATAAAAAGCTTAAAAAAAGACTTAAAAAAGTTAAAAAAACTAATAAAAGGTAATGAATTATTCATAATAAAAAACTCGGGGTTGTCTAATAAATTATTATAGAGAGAGAGCATGTCCGGACCCCCCCAAAAAGCATAAACGGGCCTGAAAAAACCCCAAAACAATTTTGGGGGCTTGGTTCCTCAATGGGGAAGAGTCCTGGACCGTTTTTCTTTTTTTTTTTTTCTCGAAATTTGGCAGATCCGGACCGTCTGGACCGGTCCAGAGTCCGGACCAAATCCGGACCGTCTGGACGGCGGTTCGGACGTCCGGATCGTAGCCATGAAGATTGGCATACCCTGCATAGGTGGCTGAATTGCACACACATGCACTGAATTGCACACACTTATCAATATTCAAAAACAGGTCATGGGTTCAAATCCTGATGCAATCAGATGGATTCAATTAAAGATTTTAACAGACAGACGAAAGAGATTAGCATGCAACCTGTGCAAAGGACGATATGCAGAACTCGAGAAGTCGTCCCATTAAAAAAAAAAAAAAAAAAGAAAGAAAAAGGATCGTAAGAGAAAGGATAAGCACTTTATTAAGAAGACAAAACCTTCCAACTTTTTTTTTTTTTTTTTTTTTTTTAACCTACCAACTTCTTGGTTTGCTCCAAATGGCAGAAATTTGCTCTCAGACGTGCTCCACACACACATCTCACCATCAAGTATGCACCTGTAAATGACAGGTTATTGAATGGGAAAGGGGAACAAACACGACGCAGTTGACTTATTCAGTTATTAACTTATTAGTATTACGGGTACTATTACTAAATGGATATTAAATTAAACAAGCGGATGCCCACCACGTCCAGTCATGGAAAAAATAAACATTTGACACAGTTCGTCCATTGCCAGGGCCACGTCGCACCATATGGGTGTGGCCTAACCCATGGGCCTTCCTTCCATCCAGGCCAGGCTCCTATGTACTTGTCTTCGAACACGAGGGGCCGCTATGTACTTGTATTCAAACGTGGGGAGCTTTGTGACACCAAAAAGAAAAATAAAAAAAAATTGGGGCCGCAGCGACACAGGCCCCAGATGCTATGCACTAAGGGCCTGTACTTGTATTTGAACTTGGGGAGCTTTGTGACACCAAAAAAACAATAAAAAAAACGGGCCGAAACGACACAGGCCCCAGATGCTATGTACTGAGGGCCTGTACTTTATTCCAACATGGGGAGCTTCGTGACACCAAAAAAAAAAAAAAAAAAAAGGGGATGAAATGACACAGGCCCACAAACGACACAGGCCAGACAGGGACGAAGCGACAGAGGCCCCAGAAACGACGCATGCCCCAGGTGCTATGTACTAAGGGCCTCGCTCCGCTGCTCGCCACATGCACAAAAGACAACAAAAAATAGCAGTGCATCTTCCCATGTTCTAGTGGAAGATTCCTCCTCTTTTGCGCATTTGGTGAGTAGTGGAGCGAGGCCCTTATATCCGAACAGGAGTCTACAAATTCAAATGGAAAAGAACAAGCAAACACAAGTCCATGGAAACAGGGATGAAGCGAACACGAGTTCACAAAATACGACCGCTGTCAGAGCAAGGCCCGCGCTGCTCGCTGCTATGTACGCAGAGCCTCGCTCCACTACTCACCACATGCACAAAAGACAAAAAAAATGGTGGTGAATCTTCCCATGTTCTGGAGGTATATTCATTCTCATTTTGCACATTGGGTGAGTAGTCAAGCGAGGCCCATAGTCGGAGGTACATAGATTTACACAAGACGACAAAAAAATGAAACCACGACCAATCCACACCCACAAAAAAACAAACAAAAAAAAAAAAATGCTGCATCTGCAGGCTCCTGCTGCTATGTACACGTATTCGAACATGCGCCCAAAATCCCACGATCTCTCTTGAAACCCGAAAAGTCACAAACGACAAAAAGAAACAAAATACAAACGTTAGGTCCTGCAACGGTTCCGCCTACCTGAGGTTTCTCCTGGGACCCGGGGGGGGGGGGGCGTTAGGCGGGGACCGCTTTAGTTTAGAAGGTATAGACTACTATAGAGATATAACGAAATGATGGAAAGAGACATGGAATGACTCAAAAACTGACAAAAAGGGAAAACAAAAGGGCGACAATGCCGCGACATCAAAAATTCCACTGCTGCACCTCTGGTCCCAGTCCCAATTCCCAGTTCCACTGTCGGTCCCAGTCGCATGTACAATATTCACAAATCCCCTACGTAAGTTGGCTATCGTGGGGGCCGGGGGGGGGGGGNAAATTTCTGGTAGGTAATCGTCAAGGGTGAAAAATTCAACAGAAGTCCTTCTGTCAGATGTCAGTAAGGGGGGTTAGAAGCAGGGTCTCAGAAAAATCCACCGCAAATTTCCAGAAGCGACAAACATCGGCAGGATGCCGGAACCATAACCCGGTGGCTGCAGCCTGGAAAGCAAATCTTCAGGTACAGAAGTCCAGTTCGGGAAGCCGTCAACAAATGTGGAAGCGCTGCTGCAGCATTTTATGAACGCGCTGTTGGAGATACCGCGACTTGCGGGAAAATAGCGCTGCTGCACTATTTTGGCTCTCGCTGATTTCCAGAAAGAAACGACTATGGCGAGATTGGTTTACGCACCACACTTAGGACGTGGCGGCGGCGCTTTTCGCCTTGTGGGTCAGAGTCCTGCTAGCTGTACACTAGAAACGAAGAGTGTGACATATGGAACAACTGAGGCCGTCCTAATTTTCACCTTTCCAGTTACTCAGTAGAAATAGTCTATGGCGCTGGGTGCCTTTAGGAAGTAGCCATAGCCAGGTCAAGTGTGAGGTGGTAAGGAAGATACTCGATGGGGGTATTCGGAGAGGAGAGAGACTCTGGAGAGAGAGGGGGCGAAGAGGAGCAACCATACCTGCCAGAGCTGGCTTGTTGGTGGGCATAGCCACGCCTGCTGTACACACAGCATAATAGAGTTCATTGGCGGATATTATATTCGAATTATATCTCGCCTGTGCCTTGATGTGTGTGCGTCATCCCCGTCTGTGCATGGACTGAGAGCATTGTGTATGGTTACCATTTGTCGGCCTCAAAGCAGACGGCTTTAGGATATCACCATTATTGAACTGACCGGCCCGAGGTAATTCAAAATGATTTTACTCTGTTCATTTGATGATTGTATCCGGACATGACGTTCGGTGAAGTTCGGTCTGTATTTCACAGTTTATGGGTGTGCCTACTGAGCTAGGCCAGTTGGTCCAAAATGAAAACATGGTTACCATCCGGACGTCCTGACCGCAGTGCAGACGGTCTGGGTCTGGATGTCTGGTCCAGAGTGTTCAGATGTATCCCCCCCGCGCCACTCCAATAAACAAATCGGACTTTAAATTTGAAAATAAATCAAAAGAATCTGGAAAAAAATTCAAAAAAAAGAAAAGATAAGTTGTGCAGCATTGCAATACCAAAATCTTTTGCCTGAGGACCATCTCCAAATTCGTAGCCAAATCCAAGGAAAATAATAATAATAACAACTTTTTTTTTTATAAAAAAGGGTTTTTTAACTTCTTTTCAATCCGGACTCTATGGAGCAGTCCACACACAGGTCCGCACGGACGTCTGGACTGGTCCAGCATTCGGGTCTGATGGTGTAACCATGAATGAAAATGAATTTTGAAATTGACAAATTGAATTATCAATCACATTCAGGCTGACAAATCCAGAGTCCAAACCTTGGCAGATTGAGACGAAACATTGGCCTCTTTTCAAAATTGAAAATTCTATCGGAAAACATGGAAAAGAAAATGAATCTTAAGATTCTTAACATTTCAACGGCAAGTGGGGGAGATCAACAACACGTGGGAGATGAATTGCTAACTTGCTACCAGGGTTTAGCTTACCCACTTTTCTGGAATAATATTTTTAATGAGAACATCCTTGGTTCCATGATGAAACTCCTGATGGTCATTACCATTCCTGTTCAAGATGAACCACCATCAACACGCCAACCAACACAGAAGAAAAACGAGAATTTTTTTGGGGAAAAAAAAGAAAAAGACACAGAGAAAGTTGAGAAATCCAAAAAAACAAACAAGGGAACAAAATACAGTAAAATGATCGGTGCAAAGTTGCAAACATGCAAAAAAAAAAAAAAAAAAAAACCTGGTCCAGCATTTTCGTAGTAAGAATTTAAAACAGTTTAAAATGTGCTTCAGGGTTGCAAACCTGCCGACCGCCAACCGTTTTGCAGGCGTTCAGTAGCGCCGACAGGTTGGCGGTCTGCTGACCAGTCTGAAAACAGCCATCCACTG